ATATTACGAAGAGCACAGCACCAGGATTGAAAGACTCATTAACAACCTGCGATATGCACATGATACAACCTTGCTTGTGAAGGCTAAAAGGACTTAAAACACTTACTGAAGGAAGATGAAAGACTACAGTTTTCAGCCTTCAGTGTAGATTATACTTCAGCATAAAGAAAACAAAAAATCCTCACAACTGGACCAATAAGCAACACCATGACAAATGAAGAAAATACTGAAATTGTCAAGGATTTTATTTGGGTCTATAATCAATGCCCATGGAAGCAGCAGTCAAGAAATCAAATGATGTACTGCACAGGGCAAATATACTGCAAAAGATCTCTTCAAAGTATTGAAAATCAGAGATGTCACTTTGAGGATTAAGGTGTGTCTGACCCAAGCCATGGTGCATTCAGTCATTGCATATGCGTGCAAAAGCTGGACATTAAAAAAGGAAGACCTAAGAAGAACTGTTGCCTTTGAATTATGGTGTTGACAAAGAAGACTGAATATACCAATGGCTGCCAGAAGAACAAACAAATCTGCCTTGGGATTGGTACTGCTAAAATGTTTCTTGCATGTGAGGACGGTGAGACTTCATCTCATGTACTTTGGACATGTTATTGGGAGGATCTGTCCCCAGAGTAGGACATCATGCTTGGTAAAATAGAGGGTCAGCAAACAAGAGGAAGACCTTCAATGAGATAGACTGACCGAGTGGCTGCAACAATGGGCTCAAACAAAGCGATGACTGTGAGGACAGCGCAGGACTGGAAAGAGTTCCATTTTGTTGTACACAGGTTCACTATGGGACCCAAAAGCAGCAGAAGCTTACTAAACAAAAGGGGTATGATGGGTGCTGTGAGAACTACAAAAATGGACAGGAAGGCCGCTGTTCCCAAGGAGTTAACAAATAAATATTATTGATTCCAAAATGCTTCACAGCACATAAAATCTTTCATTCTGGAAGGTTCCTAAGGTCATCAACCAATTGTCATCTTGTCTATTCCAAGTCAGGGAAACTTCATGTGTATCAGAGTACAACTGTGCTCCATAGTTTTTCAACGGCTGATTTTTCAGAAATAGATCACCAATAGACTGAAACTTCCCATCTTCTGGTAAACATCCCAGTGCAATAACTGTTTGCACCACCTGAGACTTCTAGTATTTTTTCTTGTTGTTGTGTGGCAGTGAGTTGATTCTAACTCATAGTGAACCCATGTGGCAGACTAGAATTGCCCCATATGGTATCCTATATGGTAATTTTTATGGGAGCAGATTGGCAGGTATTTTCTCCCATGGAGCAGGTAGTGGGTTCATATCACCAACCTTTCATTTGTAGCCAAGTGCTTAACCATTGTGCCACTGGGGTTCTTTCCAAAAATCATATAACATCAAAAACATTGCTTTCTAAAAGAGATATTAAGATGCTTACATCTATGACTTTTCATTTTTATACTTCTGGGCATATATGGGAGGCTTAATAATTACTGACTTCATTGCACAAAATACACCATTCCACTCTGCTTCTTGCTAGATTAGTCATAGTTCCTTCCCAGTAATTACCTTTGACAGATATTTACCTTAACTAACTTACTTTAAACCCCAATTTCTTTCTCCTCCTGTTTGATTTTTATAGGATCAACTAACAACTTTTACAGCTGTCAGTGCTCCTTCTATGTGTAACTAGTGTACCTGCATTTTAACACAATAGCAGACTCATCATGTCGTAAAATGCAGCATGTAGCTCCCCAGTGGTGCCTACAGGTCTAAATTACAGGCTAGATCACTTGACACTCAAGTCATATGTAAAATTAACGCTTTAGAGACTTTGGAGCTACATATACCTAGTCTTGTATCGTAGCTGTGTCATTTATGGGCAACCTCCTTAAACCAAAAGAGTGCTTGTGATGCACTGGTTAAAGGATTCGGCTGCTAACCAACAGGTCAGCAGTCCAAATCCACCAGCCACTCTGCAGGGGAAAGATGGGGCAGTCTCCTTCCATAAGATTTACAGCTTTGGAAACTGAACAGGGCAATCCTACTCTTTCTTATAGGATCACGATTAGTTGGGATCAACTCTACAGCACCGGGTTTGGGTTTTTTGGTTCCTTAAACCTTGTGAGCCTCAGTTTCTTCAGTTATAAAATGAACATCATTTGCTGTACATAATCAACCTAAGGATTAAATGAGATAACATGTCAAAATACCTAACCCACTGTAGTAAATACTGCCAGTAATATTAAAGTTCTCCATTCCTCCGTTAAAAGCAGCTTCATTATTTTAACTACCTGGTAGTCTAAAACTAAGCAGACTGAAAAGAACACAGTAGTCTTCTTTATCGCCATTTAAATTTGCTAACAACAACAACAAAAAAAAACCTCACTGCCGTGGAGTCAGACCCGACTCATAGCAACCCCTCCTTGGGTTTCCAAGGCAGTATCACTACCAAAGTAGATCGCCCCATCTTCCTTCTGAGGAGTGGCTGGTGGGTTTGAACCACCAGCCTTCTGGTTAGCAGTCAAGTGCCTTAAGTACTATGTTACCAGAGTTCCTAAATTTGCTAACAAGTCTGCTGAAATATTCTGACATTGCAGTACTTTTAACATGCTTAGTGGCCTACAGGATTTTCAAAGAGCAGATGTGCATATTAACCTTTACATATTCAGTTGACCCACAATTTAAAAAACAAAAAAGAAAGAAAGAAATCTCATTCTCCATTGACTCAAGCACAGACATCCAGGAAACAATGATGAGGATTCAAGAAGCCCTGACTGACAACCTGAAGCACCTGGGAGAATCCTGATACCACAGCACTCTCTCGCTGGTTTCCCATCCTTAAATAAATGGGGAGGCAGGACTGTAGCCACGGTTAGGCACTCAGCTGCTAACCAAAAAGTTGATGATACAAAATCATACAGCAGCTCCCCAGGAGAAAGAATGGAGATTTGCTCCTCTAAAGACTAAACCAAAAAACCAAACCACTGCTATCAAGTCAATTCTGATTTCTAGAGCCCTTCACTAGGTTTCCAAGGCTATAGATCTTGACGGAAATAGATTGTCTTGTCTTCCTCCCCTGGAACAACTAGTGGGTTTGAACCGCCAACCATGTGGTTGCAGCCAAATGCCTTGCACACTACACCACCAGAGCTCTTCTGTTGTTGTTGTTATGTGCTGTCGAGTCGGACCCAACTCATAGCGACCCCTCCTTGGGTGTCTGAGGCAGTATCACTACGGAAGTAGATTGCCCCATCTTCCCTCTGAGGAGTGGCTGGTGGGTTTGAACCGCCAGCCTTCTGGTTAGCAGTCAAGTGCCTTAGGCACTACACCACCAGAGCTCTAGATATCCCTATAGGGCAGTTCTACTCTGTCACAAGGAGTCACCATCAACTGAAAATTGACATGACAGCCCCCACCACCAACCTGTGCCTTCAATTTCTTGAATTCTACACTTGGTGTTGACTTTAATGGGGGTGACAGTAGACTGTTTTTAACTGACAGTCCCCGGAGTTTAAATTACTTAGAGTATTATAATGCGGCCCACTCCTCGGAAGGAAGGTTGGGCAATCCTACTTCCGTAGTGATACTGCCTCGGAAACCCAAGGAGGGGTCGCCTTGAGTTGGGGCTGACTCGACGGCACATAACAACAACAATTATAATGCGGCAGTTTCTTTGCTTTGGTACTTTTTATACACACACACGCACACACGTGCGTGTGTGCGTGTGTGTGCGTGTGTGTGTATATATATATATATTCTTTACCTATAACTTTCCCTTTATAGTTTTCTATGACAAAAGGTGCTCATAGTAAAGTACATACAACATTGACAGAAAAAAAACATGTTAGGGCACATGTAACTGCAATTATCCACTAATATATTTTAGGCTAGACAATTATTATACTTATCTAAACTTGGAAATAATGCAAAATAAGAAAATACGCTATATTTAATGAATTTAAAACACAAATGAATTCTGCTTTTCTAGCCTTTAAAGGGTTTAAAAATCCTATACAAGGCTTTTTATTGAAAAGTTATATTCCTAGTTGATAAAATTTCTAAAATGTGGTAGATAATCAAAGAATCTTTGTGGGGAAAAAAATTAACGAATTAAAATTTTGCTTGGTTTTTACAAACAGATAAACTCTGCAAGTAAGAACAATCCTACTTTGCCAAGAAAGTAAGTGGCAGAACCAGTAATAAAGTTCCGGTCAATAAATCTGTAGTTTCTACAAATCATTTTACAAAATGTTACAGTGATCCAGGTCATTATCATTACCCCTATTCACAGGTGAAATAACTAAGGAAGAGAAATGAAACCATTAGGTCCAGGTCATTCCACAAGGCAGGGATGGTACAGAATTATAATGTTCAGGCCAGAATCCTTTTTTTTTTTAAGTCACATATTCTTTTTCCCCTCAATGCTGCTGCTGAGTTCCACATGAAAAGTTAGCAGGAAAGGAGACTTTAGAACAAAATCTGTGCTGACTTGCAAGATTCACGGCCTGAGTCTTCCACACTTCTCGGAAATTTTATACTATTTTTAAGATAGACATTATTGAACATCTCAAGCAGCAAAGACCACAAGTAAGGCAGACCCCTTCTACTACAATAGAACCCGATGACAATATACTCTTCCAGGTCAATATATCCTTCATAAAAGTTGTGTTTTTCCCCAATACAATGCATTCCAATAAAGTAAAACCCAGTTGCAAAGACAAAACCTTGCACATTAATTAAACAGAACCATGACTTAGCAGACATCTGAATATTTGTATCATTTTAAATATTCTAAACATCACTCACAAATTTAGTAATAAGCTTAAGATCACACAATTATAATTATAATGACTCTTTAACTGGCATCCTTCTTGATTTTAGATAAATTGCTAAGGTTTTCATTTCCTTGTTTAGCCATTAAAAAAAAAAACTTCCGAAAATTTTCTGTAATTCTACTGAAAAATATATATCTCCAAAACATAAAATGTCATAGTCTACTGAACACTCACCTAAACCAGACTTTTTTAATCGTTTTAAGTGCTGACTTGTTTGTTTTCCAGTGGGGGATTTTTGCCCATGTTTCATTTCTTTATCTGAACTGTCTGCTTCACCATTTTTAGATTCAGATCCTAAAAAAGGAAACAGTTATTATGTCATTATCTTCCTCTTGCTGCTCTTCAAAAGAAAAATCGAAAATTGTTTTAAAAATCGTAGCTATAATCTCCTTTTCTAAGAGTTAATATACTACTTTTGGCTACAATCTGATTCCCCCATTGGATATAAAGAGAAAAGACCAATAAATCAATCAAACAGGACAAAAAGCAAGAACAGATGGCCTAACGGTGGAGTAAAAAAGTGCGTTCATGGGTCTGATAGCTTTTAAAAGAAATGGTCAGATCTTTTGTTGGTTTTTTTTGTTCAACAAAAAACTACTAAGCCTTAACAGTACGCTACCACTTAAAGACAATGCAAGATAAAGAAAAGGGAAGCTGGCGGAGAGAGATCGATCCTATCTTTATAAATAACTTTATGTTGAAGTATGAAGAGAAAACGCAAACAGTAATCTATAATACACAGAGCTGATAAAGTGACAGAAGATGAATTAGGAGAAAAGGTTAGGGCTGTGGTGAGGTGAAAACGTTGCCAGAACACAAACACGCATAAAGGATTCCTGATTTTGCACCAGAGTACTGAGAAACACATTCATACTCACAGAAGAACTGGTTTTGATGGCATTACACATCAGCACGTGGTCTATCATTAAAGTTCAGCATACAAACAAAAGCAGAAGCAACAACAACAGAAATCCACCTAGCATTCCAATTTCTTATACCTAATGATGTTAGCAAATAAAGTTTGCTTTATGATGATGAGTGAGCTGGGGCCTTTTCTAAAAAGCGGGGGATATTCTGTATTTTTGAATTCCTGAAATAGTCAAACGGATAAAAAAAATTAAGCCAAACCTCAAGTGGAAATATTATTCAGGTTCAGCAAAAAGAAACATGACATCTCTCTCAGTAAGGAAGTCTCCTCAGGGAAGAAACTGGCCAAGCATACAATATTTTTTTTTTACCTGAAGGCGAATCCGACTGTTCATCAGACACCTTTAATGGTGTCAAAACAACACGAGGAACAGTCTTGTTTACCATCATTGAGACTCCATTTCTTCTTTTCTGCTGCTGCCTCAAAGCCTACAAAACATAATAATAAAATATAACATAAATATATAACCAAAATTATTTCTTATAATTGCATTAAGTGATCCATTTGCCCAGCTATACACAGAACGTCTAAGAGACTTAAATTCCACAGAGCCACTAATTGTCAGCATTTTTAATAGTCACCTTCCTGTCATTTTCCCTCAAAAGCATAAAATCAGGCTTTGGCAAAAGGTATAAACCTGAGACCTTTTTCAGCACAATTCTGACAACAAAGCAGCACTTAACGGTTTGTTCTACCTTAGCAGCATGGCTTGAGAGCCCATGGAATTTGAAACTATGACTCCTAAGTAAAATAAATGTAAAATAAATGTTTCGAAACCAGGATAAAAATATATGTGTCTGCACTTCTCTCGCAGGTGCGTCCTCTCCAATGCACCGCTCAGTCAATCAAGTTAACACCGAGTGTCATCAGTATGTACAGCATGTAAGGACTACAGTATTGATGCACTCACTCAGCCGTGGGGAGCAGTGCACAAAATCACTGAACATGGCAGGAATCATTTATTTCTGTGAAGGGAATCAGTCCTAATCTTGGAAACCTTGCAGCACTTGGCTTCTGTCTGCTTGACTTTGGGCATTAACCTTCAGAACACGAACATGACGGCGTTCCGGCAAATCCAGGAAAAAATTGATACGAAAGTCAATCTCTCCAAATGGGAGTGCTTTGTGTTTCAGAAATGAATCAACCACGGTGATGATAACATAATAAATGGCATTAAAAAGTTTTGAAATACAGCTTATCTAGCTGATCGCTTTATGCAGAAAATTACCTGTAATAAAAAGGGTCTTAAGCACTCGAAACTGAACAGCCATTAAATTCATAGTCACAGGAATGCTAAAATTCCTCAAAAGGTTAAAAGGCTGGCCACAGACAGTCTCAAACCTTTTTATTCCTGGTTTCTGTGTAATTTCTATCAATTCACAGCATCTCAGTTACTTGATTAATGTTCCCTGACCAACAGTTGTCAGACTGTCATGAAATACTACACTGACTCTATATCCCCTTGCTGTCATAAACAATGCCCTTTTATTTAGAAAAGGTATTAGCTCAATGTCTAACTTGTTGATGATGAGATTTAGCAAATCAAATAATTACAGAAGTGAAAAATTAAATACCATTGACATGAGAGAAGGCATATTGAAAGAGATTTAAAACGACAGAGGAAAGTAAATGGCTTGGGAAATCTATTACAAGTGATACTGTTGCTAGTGATAACACAAGACATCATCCCTTCAATTCTTACATTTACTGAGCCTTTATGAAGTATCAAGCACTGTCACGAGACAGGAGATACAAAGATGAATGGGATCATCGTCCTCCTCACCTTTAGTCACTTACATTAATTTATTTAATGAGAGCTTGTGTGTTATAAAATATTTAAGACATTTACTCTCCCATTTTTCAAGGAGTATACATAATTGTATAAATCTCTCTAGCCTTGTGTTAGAACTCAAAGCACTTTGTAGACATTAACTCATCAATTCAACAGTAGAACAGAAGGAGACAACACAGTACTTTAAATTACAATTAAGTCCATGCTTGTTCACTATGCAAGACTTCCCAAAGCAATAAAGTCTATACAAAGATTGATCAATTTTTATCAGTCCATAAATTATAGAAGGAGTTCTGGTGGCACAGTGCCTAAGGCATTTGACTGCTAACCAGAAGGTTGGTGGTTCAAACCCACCAGCCTCTCCTCAGAAGAAAGATGGAGCAATCTACTGCAGTTAAGATTTACCGCCTCAGAAACCCAACGAGGGTCGCTATGAGGTGGCACTGACTCAATGGCAGAGAGTTTGGTTTGGCTTATAAATCATACAGAAGCATCAGTGGCAAAGTGGTTAGAGCGCTCAGTTGCTATCTAATAGTTCAGTGGTTCAAACCCACTCACCACTCTGTGGAGAAAGATGTGGCAATCTGTTTCCAGAAAGATCAAAGCCTGGGAAATGCCATGCAGAAGTTCTATTCTGTCCTATAGGGTCACTGTGAGCAGGAATTGACTCGATGGCAGTGGGTTTTTGAGTTGTTTATCACAGATTACAGCCACTACACATGGAAACCCAATTAGGTATACATTTTAATCTTCATGTGTATGTGTAGGAGGGAATATTGTAGAAAATGCTGGCTAAGCAAAGAAGAAGAAATCGCCAAAGGCTTAAATGCTGGTATCAAAAAGCCATGCAATAAATAATCAGAGTAGCAAATATTTTGACCTCAATTTCTAGAGCTAAGGGTACTTTCAGGAGCTCTGGTAGCATAGTGCCTAAGGCACTTGACTGCTAACCAGAAGGCTGGCGGTTCAAACCCACCAGCCACTCCTCAGAAGGAAGGTTGAACAAACCACTTCCATGGTGATACTGCCTTGGCAACCCAAGGAGGGGTCTCTATGACTGTTCTGACTCAACGGCACATAACAACAACAACAACAACAACGAGGGTACTTTCATTAATCAGAAAAATCAGTAGTCAGGCAGCAAATAATAATAACAAAATAAAATGATAATAATAATAAACCCATAGCTATTTTTTTCAAGTATTTTATGTATTTTGGTGACAATATATACAAACAAATATACATCCATTCACAATTTCTACATTAACAGTTCAATTAACAGTGATTACACATTCTATATTGTGTCATCATTCTCCCTCTCTGTACCCATAGTCTTTCATCACCACTAATCTAGGGTCTCCACCCTTTAAATTCCTTTGCTGTGTTTTAGATCTACCATGTCAGTTTAAGCTCATGTAGATAATTTTTTATCAGTGCTATGCTCAAGGCAAACACTGTTTAATAAATGGGCTAAATTGCTTAGGTTAATAATGGCTTCATGGGATAGTTTTTTTTCACGCTTTGAAGGCATTTCCAACCATCAGTTTAGGCTGGTTTCCCAGTCTGAATGTATCTGTAGGTCTGTAGAAGCCCACGGCTAATTTTAAAGAGAAAAGATGAAGCCAAGGCACAAAGGAATGCTAATTAATACCAAGCCTTATTCAATGAGGTTTTCTGAATATGTAGGTCCTGGTGATTTAGAAAATTTCAACAACAAATATTTATTTTACTTCAAATAGAATTCCTTGGGGCTAAAAAAAAGAGCCATTGCTGTGGAGTTGGTTCCAATCAAGTCTATCCCATGTATCACAGAGTAGAACTATTCCAGAGGGTTCTCTTGGCTGCAATCCCTACAAAAACAGATCTCCAAGCCCTTCCTCCATGGTGCTGCTGGGTGGATTTGAACTGTCAACTTTTAGGTTAGTTGTCAAGTACAAACTGCAAAGTCTCGTTGGTTTACTACACAACTCGTAATAGTAGTAAAGCAATGGACAAGTAGGCAAGCTGTATGGAGTATCAACTATTAGAATGGCTCCAGGGGTATCTGTAATACATATCCAATATCCACAGTCATTTTAGGCTATGTGTGGCTGCCTTAAAAATTCCAATTCGCTTTCCAGAGAGATTTTGTTCTGGACATGGGGGACACCCTCCAAGTAGATCAGAATGCTGAAGGAGGAAGAAAAAACAACACTGAGTGAATTGAGATGCCTTGGATAGTGTGGGATGGCTTCAGACAAGAGAGGCTCTCAGGCATGTATCATATCCACAAGGCAGGCTGTATATTGATTCCTGGTCCCTTGAGGTAAGGCTAGCTCATCATTTTGTGTTTCTTTGGTTGGCTGATTATTTAGCTCTATATCTGCAACTACACGCACATTTACCACTTAAACATATGTTGGGTATCTTCTCCCAAATCCCTCGAAAACTATGAAACGGCTTATGGGCCAGGCAGACTAGGAGTAAGACAGGCTAGGGAGACAGAAGTGAGTGGGAAAGCACATATCCCATTTGAGAAGGCAGTTAGTTGCTACTCACAAGAAGCAACCAATCTGGACTTTTAGATGAATTTTCCTGTTTTCAAACAAAGATGACCTGGACCAAATTTAGACTGAAGGTACGAATCTTCGATGGCTACTAAACACCAGTGCTCATGTTTCTCCCCAGGGCAGGTGTTCAAATCTCCCCTTCCAGTGTGCCGAATTACAGAGGAATGGGGACTGCTGTACACCTGTCTTAATGTCTGTTAGGTGTAACTATTAAGGATGAGGTTCTACAGTCAGAAAAACTCAACAAGTTGAGTAATAAGCAGCTCTGATGGTGCAGTGGTTAACGAATTTGGCTGCTAACAGAAAGGTCAGCTATTCCATGGGAGAAAGATGAGGTAGGCTGCTTCCTGAAGACCCACAGCCATGGAAACTCTCGGGGGCAGTTCCACTCTATCGCTGTGAGGGGGACTCAACTCAGTGGCAGTGAGTGAGCTGAGTAATGCTGGATAAATTATCTCATCTGAGACTATAAAACAGGGGCAACAGTGTTATAAGACGTTTCAAACAGGAAATTCACAGAACAGTACTGAGTACCTACACTTTATGGCACACGGTAAATATTCAAGCAATGTTATCTTTTGTATTCAAATTATGTATCCCTTCCACAATAAATGCATTTTTTGAGGACTTTGTTATGCTGCAGTGTAAGCAGTGCTCATCCACAGTGGCAAACGTGACAAAGTTTTTGTTTTAATTATTACATTTTAGTGAGAGACTGACAAGGAAACACATAAGCATGGTAATTTCGCATACAAAACCAATGTTATAAAAACCAAAAGCAGAAGAAGAGGCCAGAATGACCTGACCCCCGACTAACCAGGACCCGCACACCAGCACATCCCCGCGTCCAGTTGTCCAAGTGTCTGCATCCCACCACGTCGCCACTATGCCCAGGAGAAAGCCTGAATCGGTTACTAAGGGAGATGAAGCCAAGGTGAAACGAACCACAAAGACCTGCAAGGCTATCTGCTAAACTGCTCCTCTGAAGCCAGAGCATTAGTCTCAAAGGGCCCCTGCAAAGAAGGCAGAGAAGGTACTCAAAGGGAAAAAGGTGATAGCAGATGCTGGCAAGGATGGCTATTACCCT